AGGGGGAAACTTTTTTATCGATACCCTTAATGCTTATTATAGTTTCAAAAGATCTTAGATGGAAGTAAGGGTTATCTATTGCCTTAAATTTTGGGATGTCAGTGGCGTTGAACTTATGCGGAAGAAGTTCCTTGTCCAGCGAGACCCTTTGTGAACTCATGCCCTGAAATTTATAGTCACTAGATAGCTTGCTCAAACTTTCTTGCACGAGGTTCATTTGTTGTTGCTTCACGGGATCATCGATCTTGAGTGTGAGTAGCTTCAGTGTCTCAGTCACGGTAACCAATTGGTTCCTAAGCTCATTGACTTCTTCTTGACTTTCCATTATCTTTTTAGCCTTCCTCTTTTGACGAATCGGTTTATCAAAAAGCGAGACCTGAATAAAGAGGTTGTCCTTAATTAATCGCCCTTCTCTCCTCGACCAAGTACTGTGGAAAAGGAATTTGGGGATATTAATTGTTAATTATTTGACTCAAACTCTATTCAACATGCGATGGATGGAGGAAGTGAAGAAAGATTGGAATAGAATGTGAAGAAAATTGATTTAGATGGAGGGATATGAAGAATTAGGAATAGAATGTACCCCCCAACTCAAATGACGGAAAAGACCGACTCATGCATGGACCTAAGACATGGTCATGGTGATGTACTCAAAGTGTGTGCTAAGACTAGTGAGTGTAGGTGATATGTTAAGACTCGTGTCATGACCATGTGGCTAGACTATGTGACTAGACTCAATTAATGACTCGACAAGGTATGATTGACAGCGAAAATTAACCGAATTAATTAGCAAACTGGTCAATTAGACACTAGGTGATGACTCGACCAATAATCCGAACTTTCGGCAAAACGACAGGACTGGCGTCGCACTGTGTAGTGTAGCGCTAGACGACAGAGTTGTCGCCAGGCGCCACACTCCACAGAGTGGCGCTACAGTCCAGACTTTGGCGCCAATGCTGGAGCTTCAATCTGGGACTGTTTTCAGTGTTATTAATCAACAAGGGTATGCCTAAAGTCGTACTAGGTCAATTCTGATTAAAATATTAGACTTTATTGACTCAAATTAATTAATTAATTAATTAGGCAAAGTTATTTAAGTCATTAATTTATTTAATCTCAACACAAGTCAAACAAACAGTTAAGAGAAACATAGAATATATGTACAACAAATAATGCACAATTAGTCAAGTAGGCACAATATGATGCAATGAGTTTGCAACCTAACCATGGCTCTAGTTCTCTAAAGTCCGGGATATGGTTTAGTCAATATAGGGTCCATGGTCAATTGTCCGGATGCACCGCGTGGAAGCCTAACCGTGAAGGGTTGGCGCGAGTGGATGGGACACCGCGAGTTTTAGAAAAAACTCGCTTCCATGGTTTGGTGAATTCAACATTCTCGGATGTACCCTTCTTTGCACATACTGTTCAATCATGTAGATGGAGCATGAACACATATGGGTTTCAGAAGAGTGAGAATAACTCAATCAGGAAGTAGGATCGAGCAAAAAATACGAAAAACTGGTCGAAATTAGAACGCAAATTTCTGGCTTGGTATTGGAGGAATTTGGCGCCAGCAAACAGAGACTGGCGCCAGGTTTTAGCTGTAGCGCTTGGCGTCAATGCTAGCGTCTGGCGCTACAGTTAAAAGTCTGGCGCCAATGCTCTGGCCCCTGGCGCTAATTCCTACATGCCTCAACAGCAATCTGTGCTTGATAAAATTTTCCAGTTTCGCGCAGTGTTATTTCTGTCCTAGTTGTGAAAGATATTTCTCAAATTTCCTACGTGTAAAATCCTATGTTTTTAACTCATTACGAATTTTTCCAATGAAATATTTTTTATGCATATGACAATAATGTTAATTAAAATTACGCACATGAAATACTTAGAACGTTTCGAGTCTCATCCACTCATTCTAAATCATTGCCGAAACAAATTCAGGAATTAAAATAGAAATCCTCCCTAGTGGAGTCGCCAAAAACTGTGGGGGAATAATTTCAAACGTTAATCCCCTTGCTTGAACCCCACTGTGATCATACACTAAAGTATAGTGGCGTCCAAAAGGGAAGAAGATAGAGCAAAAGAGTCGCTAAAAAGTTTTAGGAACTTGTAAACCGTTCACACGGTGAAGGTTACACCCCTTAACGATCCAAGAGATCGTCAAATCCATAAGGTCTTGAACCAAATAAGGGTTCGGGAATGAAGGTACAAATTCAACCTAAAAGAGATTGAATCTGCCCTAATAATAGGCCTCTACTTTATTCTAATCGTATTCATGTGCACTTTCTGACTAACATACAATCAATAGGATTAACCTTAAACATGTTTAATCTATGTTGGTTGAAGTGCACAAATAAATCTATTATTGTCGATCACTTGAATTATAATCAAATTAACCCTAAACAAGATTATTAATTATCTTATATAAGCGTGATTACAAGTACAAATTCGCTTTAAACATGCATAAAAGGTGTGATCAAGCAATAACAATAAATATAATCAACATAATAAATAATCATCATCATAATAATCAAAATAATAATAATCATAAAATTATAATCATAATCAAAACAATTATAAAAATAATAACGAATCATGTTAAAGCATAATAATAGCAAGATCCTAGGCAAGATACTAACAAGATTATAACAAACCCTAGCATGTCACTAAACAATAAAAATCAAATATTTAACCCTAACATGATACTAACAATCATAAATATTAGAAAGAACATAAAAGGCATCATAGAAATCATAATTGATATTAAAATTACCCTAAACATGATACTAGGAATATCATAATAACCTAAACATGATTTCTACATCATAACATCAATAAAACCATTAAAGTACTTACTTTGATGTCTCGTACCTCTTTCTAATAACAAAATATACACGTTAGTAACTTCAAGGAAAATAATAAACAATAAATAAATTAAATAATTGAAATAGAGATTTGGGACCAAACCCTCAGAAATTAAACCTTTCACGTCTAGGGCGAAGGAAACTTCGAATAATGCTAGGTGTATCTAGGTCTTGTGAATGCGGAATTTTGTAAGAAAAAGAGTAGGTTTAGAAAAGAGAGAGAGAGAGAATATACCAAGAATTTCTTGATGAGAGTTGGTGAGAATTAGAAAGGATAAGAATTGATGATAATTGATGAATGATTATTGAAGAGAATGAGAGAGAATTGAAAACTGGTTGTAGGTGAATGAAAACGGAGTTTTTACGACGTTATTTATAGAGAAAATCAGCCAAAAAGATAAAATTATCAAAACAGAGTCTGGCGCACAGAAAACAGAACCAGCGCCAACGCTGGTTGTTGGCGTCAGGCGCCAACGTTAGCGCCAGGCGCTACAGCTGGGGTTTGGCGCTGATCTGAAAAATTACGCGTTTTCTTAAAATCAGATAAAAGTTGCCGTACAGGAGGATAAAATCGTATTTTTCCTTAAAAATACTCTTTGATTTTAATTAAAACTCTGAAAAGTCAACAAAAGTCAATTTATCAATGCTAATTGAATTAGGAATGAAAAAAACCTTCTAGAAGAATCTAGACGACTAAAACCATTCCTAATTGAATTACGAATGATAAATCATATTAGGCCCTCCTCTAGATCATTGGGCCGCATATAAGGCTCAAACTGGGCCCAGTTCAGTAAATTGGCCATAACTTCCTCATTATTCATCGGAATTGGGTTTATAATATGTCGTTGGAAAGCTCTAGTCAAGCCCTATCCAACTACACTACTATTGTACCCATATCATAGACCAACCAAACTGGATTGGCTGTTTTCTTAAAATAAGTTTTCAAAAAACAGAGAGAAGAGAAAAGAAATTAAAACTATCCGCAACACTAGACTTTCCACACTTTCACTTCATTCGATTATGATTCGATGTGAAAGGTACTCATCACCGGGTTTGGTTTTGGGGAGACACAAATGGATGTCTACAACAGTGTTCTTCATCATCCATCAAATATTATCACATAATTAAATTCAATTCACACACACTATACACATAATTCAAACGAAGAGGTGCAAACGATATTAAGAACAAAATTCAAAGTAAAAACCCTTAATTTCACACATACTTAACTGATTAAAACCCTAAAACACGTAAAGACATTAAGCAAATAAATTAAAAAATTCCTTCGACATTCCCACAACTGATAGAACACCACGCAAATTTTGTGAAAAAAATTAAAAAAAATAATGATTCAAACTTGCATCCCTCGTCAAGTGCGATATTCCGGCGCTTCCTTCCGAAATCGGCGGCAACCAAAATCCAGCAAAGACCCCCGTACTTCAGTGTAACTGTTACACTTCAAATTACAACTATAGGATGCGAATTTGCCTTCACAATGCTTCTGAAAATTTCCCCTCTCTCTCTAGGATTTTATTCAAAGTAAAAACCTAGAGAAATTGCCCCATCAAATATTATCACATAACTAAATTCAATTGTGGGGACCAACTGGCTTCAACTTCTGCATACTTTATTCAAGATTGTGAATTTCTAATTTTACCCCTTAGTTGAGTCCATTTGGACTCAACATAGTTGAGGATGAGAAATTCTCATTTAATAACCAATGTCTCCCAATAGTTAACCACATTTTTTTTGTTAGACATTTTCTCTCTCCTACTTTTACCCAACCCCACCACACAATATCTCTCTTAAATCCTATCATATATTACTAATGTACTTGGTAATAATTATTAAAACTAATAATTATTATTAGCATACATTAATTAAATAAAATTGTTTATGTTTAAAATTAATGCATTATATTATTTAATTAGTAAGTAATTAGTCGTTAATTAAGAAATACACAATAATTAAGAAATACACAATAATTGCAACTTTACTAAATTCGATAATAATAAAAATAATACATATTATATCAAATGACAACAATCTTTAAAAGATAACAACGAACTGCGCATGATTTAGTACAAATACAATAATTTAATGTTACGATTATACAACTTTTAACGCAAATTATTTTGTCTATGGTTTAACACCGAATTTGAGCCACATATGTTCAACTAAGTCTTTCTTCAAAGCTTTATGCATAGTTTCATCACGAACACGAGCTCTATTAGACATATACATTTCCAAACTTGCAATTCGGTTGTTGCTATTTTCGAATTGAAAAGACTCTTCAGTATTTCTATTACTTGAAGACGCATTTGTAGTTTGATCATATTCATTTAGATCGTAATATGTTTTATACGTATCTCTTTCATCCTCAACGATCATATTGTGCATAATGATACATGCTATTATTATTTTTCCTAACATTGATAAGTCACGAGCTAGTGCAGGATTCCATATTATTGCAAAACGAGCTTGTAATACTCTAAAAGCACGCTATCATCCTTTCGTCTAGCTTCTTGTAATTTGGGAAAATACCTTCTTTTTCATTTTGTGGTAGTGATATTGTAGGAATGAATGCTGCCCATTTAGGATATATACCATCACTGAGATAATACCCCATATTGTATTGATGTTCATTCACAACATAGTTAATAGAAGGTGCACAACCTTCAAAAACATCGTTAAACAAAGGGGATCTATCAAGAACATTAATATCATTACGACTACCTGGTGTCCCAAAAAAAGCATGCTAAATCCAAAGATCATATGATGCCACAACTTCCAAGATTAATGTGGGTTTACCTGGTCTTCCAGAAAACATACCTTTTAATCGAAGTGGAAAATTTTTCCACTGCCAATGCATGCAATCAATAGAACCTAGCATGCCTGGAAATCCTCGACGTTCACCAATTCTTAGTAGTCTTACCATATCTTCTTCATTGGGCTTTCTAAGGTATTCATCACTAAAGTAAGAGACAATTCCTTCCACAAAATGTTGTAGTGAATCTCTTGCAAGAGATGCACTAATTCAAGTGTAGTCATCCACAGAATCAGTAGAGGTGCCATAAGCTATTAGCCTCATAGCAACTGTGCATTTTTGCAATTCGGAAGCACCAAATCTTCCTGTAGCATCTTGTCTTTGCTGAAAGAAGGGATGACGTTCTTCTTAAGTTTGCTTTATTCGGAGAAATATATGTTTGTTCATGCGAAATCTCCGACGAAATAACTGTGGGGGAAACACAGGATAGTCAGCAAAGTAGTCATTCAATAAACGATTTTGTCCATCCCCACGATCCCTTGGAATGGGGATTCTTGGTGCCCTTGGAACTTGATTTAACATTTGATATACTTCAATCGGATTGGACATAAAAACTTCATCCATCATTCGATTAACAAGACGATTGGCTTGCCTTCGTCTTTCATATCGTTGTGTTTGTCTATTTTCTGAATTGGATGAAGAATTAGAAGAGTTGGAGCTTTTCGTCGGATGACATGTCATTAAAATCAAGTTGATATGAGAATGGAAGGTAGAAGTTTTTTAGGGGAAAAGATGGATGGTTAATTAAGTGAAATGTATCTCATCCATTTTATAGAATAAATGTGTTTGCTATGTAGCCATCTTTATTGTAGATGCATGCATTTGTATTGTCAATATCAACTTAGCATTGTTATCTACGTAAAAGCAATGTAATGTTATTATTACCTTTTCAGTGTCAAGTACATCAGCGTACAATGTTTATCACTATTACCTTTTCAGTGTTAAGAACATCAATGTCTAATATTTGCTTTTCAGTGTTGGGTACATCGGTTCTTTTTCAATGTAATGTAAATCAATGTACATCTTTTGCAGTTAAATATCAAAGTGAATTGATGGGTTTAGTCGGATCAATATAATTATATGTACATATAAATCGTATAATATGATTTTAATACTAGATATGTAATTAACTTGTTTTTTTATTAATAATAACATTACAATATAACATTCATTCATATCCTAAATCAACAACACATTAAAAATTTCCAAAATAAAAATCAAACCTTAATACATAAAACAGAAAACTAAAAAACAAATTATTTGAAATTAAGCAACATGTAAACTATGATTAACCATAAACTTAGTACATCAGTCTGAGGGGAACAACTTCTTCAATAAACTGTTCATTAGTTCTTGATCTTCAGAAGATAGGTTTGGCTTTGAATCGAGGTGCTTAAATAACTCCATATTAATCTTTCTTTGCTTCCTTGCTTCTTTCTAGTTGCAACCTTGTAAGTTCAACTTGATTTTCTGATTGCCTTATAAGGTTCATGTCATGGGTTGTATCCAACCATTGTTGCCATGCTCCAACTAACATATTTGTCATCTTGCTCTTTCCTTTATTTTTGCTAGATTCGTTGCTGGTAGGCAAGCCTGAATACCCAATATCACCACTAGTTGGTGTTTCTGGGTTTGATGAAGATGAATAGTTTCCAGCTTCATTGATACGTAATCTCTTTGAGTCACTTCCTTGAGTAGATGTTTTTTGCTTGCATTTTGAACAATATCTTCACTTGGTTTCCACGCATCATGTTGTATCAAAATGTCCCAAACATGCTTGTCTTGAAAGGTTTTAGACATCAATGATGTCTTTGTTTTGTCAGCAGCATATATACTATATGTAGCCTTCATAACATCTTCATCATTGTGACCACTTCCCCTTTTTGATTCAGTATGAGCATGTGAACCACAAATTTACAACATGAAGCATTGATCCTTCTCCAACGATTTCTAAGTTGCTCCGAACCCCTCATTTTCAACAAATCTTCTCGTGTTACCCCGTCAATACCTTCTTCGAACCACCTTTGTTTGTATAGTCTAACATTATTATACATTTCCTCAATTTTTCTCCAAAAAAATCCCCCTTTTGGTCAGTGTTAGTTTTTTTATTTTGACTAACCTCAAGCCAAGCCTTCACAAGAACCACTTCTTCAGCTTTTGACCAAAACTTTCTGTTTCCCATCTTGATTGCCTCCTTCATGACCTCTTTCATTGACTTCAACTTCTTCAACTTCTGGTTCATTGTCGTCATCTGATCCATTCGATGTGTATGAGCAATTGAAACTCGGAAGTGCACTATCATCACCTTGTGACATAGGAAATTGGGACATAGGAAATGTTGGATCACCTTGAGAGATTATTTGAATTTTCTCAAAAGATGGGATAACATTTTGAGAATATGAATAATTAGGATTTTGTGGTGGTTGAAAAGGGAAAGAAGTAAAAAGTACTTGGATTTGAGAAATTGACATTTTGTGAACCATAATTCGAAAATTGTTGAAACTTTGTATCTAAATCTGAGTTGAGATCAATTGGAATGTTAGAATAGTAAGGTTGAAGATTTGGATTATTTTGGGGTTGTGATGAGTTTTGAGATTTTGTTGTTTTTTTTTTCTATTAGATTTTGGAATATTCATCTCTACACAATTTGATAATAAAGAGAGTAATATTCACTAAAAAAAATTTTGTTTCAAAATACCTCAATATTAGGCTCATTTTATAGAGAAAAATAAATTAGAGCCGTTGTTTTTTTTTTTTTTAGAATTGTATTTTAAAAATTATGGCCGTTACAAATATTACAACGCTTATAAATTCAAAGCAAATCTCAGCCATTAATTAAAAAATAGGTGTCACAATCTCAAGAAGCCTTGTCATTATGTGTCATTATAAAAAACAATAAAATATTCCATGACCAAGCTACAATAACGGGTTATTCAGTTATTGAAAATTTCCCCCAAAAATTTCTCTCTCTTCGGTATTTTATTATTATTCCACTTTCTCTCTCTTAATAACCAACCTCAATAACCAATGGCTGGGTATACTCTAAGAGTAAACACAATGGTTACCCACAACCATTATGATTATCACTTATTTAATTAATTTCTCTATCTTCCACCTCATTTATAACCACTTTTATACCCACTTAATAACCAATGTAGCCCAATGGTTGACCATGGTTACACATCTTATCTATCTTACTTTTATCCAACCCCACCACACAATCTCCCTCTTTCACTCAATGACCAAGCAAATTGGCCCTACTATTTCACTCAATAACCAAGCTTTATAACCTGGTTATTTCCACAACCAGGTTATTGCTTTTTATTCACAAAAATTTCTCTTTCTTCATTTTTCAATTATTTTTTCACATTCTCTCTCCCAATAACCATCCTAAATGGTTAACGGTTGGCTATGCTCTAAGTATAGATAGATTTGGATTACTTTGGCTATTCGGTTAAATTCTTTTCAAGCCACCATCTCTTTTGGTTTGAGTTAGTACAAATTAAATAATCAACCAACTATATGATAGTGGAATGTTGAGATTTTACTAAAATAACTAAGTAAGGAGATTTGTTAATTGTGGAATATAGTAAAAATATTGTTCATAAAAATGATTTGTGAAGGTGACACGTGGAGCTTCTTTTCGAGTGTCCTCTGTTTTAGTATAGTTATAGATAGATTTTGGATCAATTTTTGGTTCATTCTTTAAAGTTGGGTTAGATATGGATCAATTTTGTCAAGTCTATTTAAATACGGAATAATGGAATATCTATTGGTCTTGATTAAAGCGTTGAGTTCATTCAACAGGAGTCGAGTCAAAATCGTCTTTTGTTATTGAGTCAATCTCATTCTCATGCTAATAAAACCCAGTACTTTCTTTGCCCAAAGAGGCTGCATTTCTTCATTTATCAACAAGTCAATCCTTTGTTATACAACTTTAACTCCCCACATTGTTCCAAACTATCATCATCTTAGACAACATGACTCTTCCAAAAGGCAGAACACTGATCAATCAATTGCACAAAAGAATTCCCAAATCACCAAATTCGGAAGATGTGGTTCCACCCACGAAGCAGAAATGGTATTCAATGGTATGCCTGTTAAAAATATCATTACTTGGACAGCTTTGCTAACGGTATATGCAGATAATGGGCAGCTTTTGAATGCACGGAAGGTGTTCGATGAAATGCCGCAACGAAATATTGCATCTTGGAATGCGATGATCACTGGTTATGTGAGGAATGGTGTGGGAGTTAGTGAAGCTTGTGAGTTGTTTAATAGGATGCCGGACCGAAATGCAGTGTCTTATGCTGCCATGATAACTGGTTTCGTTCGTGCTTTTATGTTCGAGGAGGCGGAGAGATTGTACAATGATATGCCTAGAACTTGGCGTGACCCTGTTTGTTCTAATGCTTTGATTTGTGGGTATTTAAAGGCAGGTGAATTGAATGAAGCTTTTCGGGTTTTTTCGGGGATGGTGGAAAAAGATGTTGTTTCTTGGACGTCAATGGTAGATGGGTATTCTAAAAAAGGATGTATAGAGGATGCTAGAGAACTGTTCAATATGATGCCTGTGAAGAATGTAGTTTCTTGGACAGCAATGATTAGAGGGTATATGAGGGATGGAAATTTCAAAGATGGGTTTCTTCTGTTTTTGTCTATGAGAAGGGATGAGATTGTGAGGGTTAACCCTATGACTTTAACCACAGTTATTGAAGCTTGTACTAACAATGACCGATATGAAGAAGCTTGTCAATCCCACGGTTTAGGTTTCCGTATGGGATTTGAGTGTGATCTAATATTATGCAATGCTCTCATCAATATGTATGGTAAAATTGGCTGTCTAGAAACTGCCATTAAGCTGTTCAATCATATGAGCAAGAAAGATATAGTTTCTTGGAATTCCATGATTTCATCCTATGTTCATGCTAATCAGGTTGACGAAGCTTATAGTCTTTTTCAAAATATGCCAAGAAGGGACATTTTTTCTTGGACAACAATGATTGGAGGGTTTTGTGGAAAAGGTGATATGGCAAAATCAATCCATTTATTCGACATGATGGCATGTAAGGATGATGTTGCTTGGACTGCTGTTATTTCAGGATTGGTTAACAGTGAGAGACCTACTGAAGCTATTTATTGGTACCTTAGGATGACTCGAGGATCCTTCAGACCAAATGTCCTTACTATGAGCAGTGTGATCAGTGCTGCTGCTGGTTTAGCTAATTTAATCATTGGCTTGCAACTTCATGCTTGTGTTGTGAAGATGGAAATGGAGCTTGATTTGTCGATTCAAAATTCCTTGGTGACAATGTACTCGAAATGTGGAAATGTTTCTGATGCATATCATGTCTTCATGAAGATTGCTTCACCAAATGTCATTTCATTTAATTCGATGATCACAGGCTATGCTTTTCATGGTCTTGGGGAAGAATCACTTCGGTTATTTGAACAAATGGAGAAAAAGGGGCTGGAACCAAATGAAATTACCTTCCTTGGTGTTCTTTCTGCCTGCACGCACTTGGGATTAGTTCAAAAAGGACAAGAGTATTTCAAATTGATGAAATCAGCCTATCATTTAGAGCCAGGGCCTGATCACTATTCATGCATGATTGATCTTCTTGGTCGAGCAGGATTACTTGACCAAGCAGTTAATGTTATCCATTCAATGCCATTTGAACCTCATGCTGGAGTTTGGGGAGGGCTTCTGGGTGCAGCACAGTCCCACTTGCATATTGATGTTGCAAAGCTTGCAGCTAAAGAAATTTTGAGACTGGAACCAACTAACACAACCCCACATGTGGTCTTGTCGAAAATATTTTCAATTTTAGGAGAAAAGGAGACGGAAGAGGTTAGACAGATGCAAAAATTAAAGGGTAAAACTCCAGGCTGTAGTTGGGTGTTGGTGACAGAAAATAGTAATTAGTTTGAGTTGGAGATGAATCATGAATGTGATGTACTGGGGGGCAGATATCTCAGATATGTTTGGTCTGTGGGTTTCATCAGGATTGATCATTATAGATTTATGATAGGAAGATGAACTTGAATAGTCAAGGTGCTTTACTGTATATCAGGAGGTATGGCTGAATTACACCTTTCAAGTTTATTACGTATAAAATATTTTTGATTCTAATAAATATTCAACCTGAGCTGAAAATTTATGTTTTCTTCCTTTATGATGCATAATAGATTACATGGATTGGTCACATTTCATATCAAAGCTTATTTGCTGATCTAGTTTCCTTGCTGAGAGGAGACAAACTGAAATGGAAAAAGTGCACAGATTAAAGGCATGGTCTTCGACAAGTCCCAAGTACAAATTCTGTGGCTGGTGTATTTCTCTAAGGTAAAACTAGAAGCCTTGGTCTTACAGATATTTTTAGATGACAAGTTCACGTTTTACACTTTGTAACTTTGAAAATTATTGTTGTTGCTGCAAAGCCCTGTCATATACGAAATGATTATGCACTTATAGTTAGCCTCAAGCCTTTAGTGTTGCTGTACTGTTGATTTTTGTAAGGGATTAAATAAGACCGAGTACTTGACACCATATGGTGCTGATTAATGTGGAACTTTTAATTGCAAGCAAAGATGGTACAAGTTTCTGAGTGAACAGATAAATAATAGCAATTAATGACCAGAGAGTTTGACTTTGACGTTATTTAAATATTGGTTGAAATCTTGATCATTTGGCCCAAAAATGCAACAGATAAAGAGACAGTAGGAGGGAAGAATTGTACCTGAGTAAAGAATATCTCAATCACATTGAGGTTACATATGTAAATGAAGAGGGTGATGGAAGAGTGGGTACAGGGTAAGAAAGGAAGCTAGAAGATAGATAAATGAGCTGTAATCTCATTCTAATCAAAAATTTAATTGTCAGGAGATAACATGGTGTGCGAATGTCAGCTGGTTGGGTATCCCTTCCAAATACTAATTGTATTAAAAATTGTTGCTTATGTCGCCATGCCTGAGATCTTGTATTAAATATTGCTCTTTCTTTTTCTCACTTTACTCTCCTTTTTTGTAAACTCTTTCAACTGATTATCTTGTTATGTTATTTCTCTATGTCGTATGGTTTCCTTATGATACATGTTAGCCGACCTCAAATCATTTTGGGACTAAGGCTTTGTTGTTGTTGTTGCTGCTGTTGTGTAAAAGAAAATACAAATTAATGCAGCATTTCACTAAAATGGGGCCCTTTTTCAATGCAACACTTTCTTAATGGAAATATACTACACTAATATATTGTATATCTACCCTTTAGTTACATCGTCTCCACTCCTACCCCATTCATACAATTCTATTACTCCCTTTGTTTGTATTTAAGTGCCCCTCTTTGACTAATGATATCTTTACTTGTCAATGCACAACTTTTACTAATATTATCTTTACTTATCAATTAGTATAAATCTTTTAAAAAAAATTAATTATAATAATAAAAAAAAATGATTTATGGAAACTATGCTTTAAGATAATTCTAGCGAGTACTCATTGATTATATTTTATCTTACGTAAATTGGTCAAAGTGGTGCATGTAAATAATGTCAAAGTCAAACTGAGGCGCTTAAATGAAAACGGAGGGTGTAATTATTTTATTTCATATCCCTAACTTTTAACCCACTTTCCTTTTTGTAAAAAAAAAAAAAAAAAAAAAAAAAAAAGATTATTATAACCCAACTAATGTCACTTACATAATATTTTAACAAATTCAACTCAACAGCCTAATATTTCGTGCCAGTCAAAGTGTTGCATAAAAAAAACGAAGGGAATAATTTTATAATTCAGTTGCACTTCTACACCTTAATTTTATAATTCCTTCCCTCCCTTGAAAAACTTGTTTTAGAGAGGCTATTCAAGTTGAACAGATGGAGAAAATGGAAAAAAAGGGGTGGGAAAATTTCATCCTCATCAGCTCTGCGATCATAGCAGCAGCGCACGGCACAATTGTATTTACTACCGTGTTTTTTTATTTGACATCGCTGGTAAATTGGCATATGCAGTTCCGTGGAGCTGATATGTGTTATGGTGTATCCCAGTGTCTAAGACCTTAATTTCAAACATTTTCAAATTTCAATGGAAGACTACAGATAGAATCACTGGAAGGGATGAGAACTAGGAGAGGTTCCTCTCTCTTAGGCATCTGCTTCCTGTAATGACATTGACAATCCCTGTTTTTCCCCTTCATAGGGGTCATCTCTCCTGAAGATTTGGGTTGTTCCAATAGACAACATGTCATAGCTATATTTTTTGCTCGTTCGTCTTGAAAGCCCGGAAATATGGGAGAACTCTGAGATGACTTCAGGGTGTCGTTGGGGAGCTGTTCCGTAGCTTCTCGTCTTCCATTGACAATTAACAATTGTTCCAATTTGAGTTATGTCTCATTGTCTTGCAGGAGTGATATTTTTGAGATGTAAGAGATACAGAATGGTAGACCAGATTCCAGAAGTGAAAGTGCGTCTAAGAAAGAGATGTTGGACAGATTTTCAGGTTGCTGCTGGCAAAGAACACAATTCAGATCCACCTGCAATCTCCAGGTAGCCATTCTATCTTTATTCCCTTTTTTGCAGTGCAAGCCAGAGAATAAAGATATTCTTAAGTGAAAGCTTTATTACTATCGATCACCCTTTGCCAAACCACCTTCTCAAAGCTTCCTCTCATATGTAAATACATTGAGAAGCAATCACTCTCTATAAAAGACTCCCAGCAGGCAGCTTCAGACACATATACTCTATACAAGCCCATATATTCTTCAAAATCCATGTTGCAGATCGAGGAATCTTATTCTTGGAAAAAACATCTGCATTTTGTGTATATTAGGCTTGTACCCATGTCACTCAGAGCTTATCCTTTTTTACAGCAAGGCCTGAGAAGCTTAGTAAGTGCAGCATTATTCCATACGTGTAAGTCTTTAATGTTCCATCCACCAGCTTTATTCATAGCTTTTCTTTTTGAATTTCTAAAGATTATCCTTCAGGGAAAAACTATAATCCCCTTAATATGCCCAGATAATTTTTAGATGTACTGCTTTGCTTTTTAACTACCTTAAAATCCAGCATTATTAACCTTGATGTTTTTGGAAGTTATATGATAGAATCTTCGCAAAAATGTATTCAGCTTCGTATGGTTTATACCTGTAATCTTTCCCTGTTAAATGTATTCAGCTTCGTATGGTTTATTACTCATAATCTTTCCCTGTTAATTATGGGACTTTTCATTACCTGTAAAAAGTCTACTCATATGGTTTATACTGTTATATTGGTCAGGAAATGAGACTTGTGAGAGTCTAAGAAATTGATTACAGTTCAAAGCTTCCGATGTTCAGGGAATGTTGTGAAAGCCTGAAAGGATCATAACCAAGGAGCATCATGCTGGTAATTCAATATCTTGAACTCCTAAAAGGTTTTCACTCTGAAATCTGAAAATCCAAGTTGTATTAATGCTGGTATTTGTATTAAGTTGACTGCAGTGGCTTAACAATTTGAAGATCATCTCAATGGTATACAATGTTCAGCACCCCTTTATTCAATAAAGCTCTTCCCTCTTTCTATGATAGTTTTTCCCTCTTTTGCTTTATTTTTCAAAAAACAAAACTATTTTTTTTTTTCTTTTTATTCAAAAAAATAAAAAAAAAATAAAGAAAAAATAATCAACCCCAAGCTAGCGTACTATATTAGCCTTTCTGAAAATTTGCTACATTTTATTTTTCGCGGTTTATAACACACATTCACTAAAAATTCTAAGGTGATCATTTAAGTGATTTTCTCAAATTACCTGTATATTTTTACAAACAATCCTTTTAATGATTTTCTTTCAAATTAAAGACAATCTTATAAAGGGGTTTTCTTTTAAAGGAGATTTTGCAGTGTTTGTGGTGCCATGTCACTCATTTTGATCACCTTAAAAGTGTCTTGCACGCATACTTAATTTTATAAATCTTATCTTCAATTATCTATTTTTTAAATTACTGAAAGGCAAGTATGTATTTTGAAATAACATTAAATCAAATCTAAGAATCTACAGTTTATTGCAACATTTTCAAAGTACTAAAGAACAAAGAAAGTATATATCACACTATTTACATGTGTACAATGGTTGAACCAAAAATATATAAAAGTATGATGGTACAAAATTGTAAAACCAAGGATTCGACTTCTAGTGCTTCTAATAACAGATTGTAAGCTTGAAACATAGACAAAAACATCACAGTATTTTTGAGCATGCATCAAACCAAATCAAACCCAACCTGTGATATTATTTCATACCAGTTTCGAAGGAAGATTATCAGGCTCGCGGTCAAGCAATGGATTGAATCTTTGTGATTACCACGAGTGTGGGAGGTGTTTATAGCGTCCTGTACCTTCTACTTCCTGCCTATAGCTGTTTCGTCGCTTTGGGATCCAAAATGCCTTCGTTGACAAGAGCAAAACTACGCCGTGCATTATAATCATCATCAGCAGTAGCAATGTTCCATTCAAGAGATTTGAAGCTCTTTTCTTTTTTATCTTTCTTCTTTTTCTTGCCATAGACGCAGTCGTTACATAGAAACATCAAGCCGAAGATCGCTGCTCCGCAGCCAATAAGATCTATTAGGCAGTTCATCTTCCTTTTTCTTGATAAACAAAACTTTGGTACTGTATGATAAAATGCAGAAGTTAGAAATGAAACTTCAGCTAGTTTAAAGTCATAGAATAATTTTGTTGCAAATTTTGATAAATAATCTTTGCTATAATAATATGGAAAAGGCGGTTTGAATTAGTTTAAGCCAAACTGGTTCATGAATATGATGGGAATATTAATTTGACTTATTACGTTGCTTTGTGTAATAATTATCTGAAATGCCTTTGACTAGTTCTGATCTAGGTAAGATAAGGATTAACAATAAATAATTAAAAAAAAAAAGTCTAATCTCTCATTAACAGGTTTTTATGACATGCATTTTTCTGAAGATATGATATTAATAAATTGTTTTCTTCGTCTCTATTTTCTACTACGCTTTTAGAAATGTCTATACACCCTTAAAAAAAAAGGGAAGATTATCTAAAACACTTCTCCACATCTTTACAACCCATTTTCAAAGTATATTGCATCAAGGGGACCAATTATGTAGAAATATTCTCATTTTTATCTCGTTTAAAGTCATTTTAAATGAGCAGAAAAATAGTTTTGAATATATAATTTATCAAACATATAAAATATATCACAGACATTAGAGTATTATATTGCAAGCTCTACGTGATGTTGCCATTAAAGGGAACTACACAACTAGTGAGTAGTGATACAAGAATTTGCCACCAATTCATTCTTCTTCTTCTTCTTCTTCTTCTTCTTCTTCTTCTTCTTCTTCTTCTTCTTCTTCTTCTTCTTCTTCTTCTTCTTCTTCTTCTTCTTCTTCTTCTTCTTCTTCTTCTTCTTCGAGGGCGGAAGTATTAGTTCCTAGGAATACTTCAATGCCCATAAAATTCAATTTTTAGGAAATGTTATGACTTGTTTGGTTGTATGATGGAATTAACGAACATAATTTCATGGAAGCTTCATTTACCTAGGTGACTAGGTAAGTAAATTCCTCCATTTCATCGCATTTTAAGCTTTAAAGGAAGTTCTAATTCTGTGATATCACCAACCAAACAAAACGGCACATGAATCCACTTCCCAAAAAATAAGCTTCAAATACAGTTATGTGTCAACCAAATAAGTACTAAGAATAACTAAGTCTATAATAAATCCAAATGACATTCATATGTAGACAACCTTATCAATTACAAATCTGTAAGAGTACAAAGATATATTTTTCGGATACAGTACAGACGAAAGTATATACATAAATTCAAGGGGGATAGATAATGCAGGAAGAAGTCAGCCACGGCTCACCCTGTCCGGCAATGAAAAGATCAATCTTCTTTATCATTGGCATACCCAAATTTGCCTTTCTTGCTTACAGTACCTCTTTGTTCAGCTGCAGAGCTAGTGCTTGGTCTATCATCATGGACTACACTGATACTGCATTCAGCATCGTCGTCAGAATCACTCTCACTGCTATCCCATACCCCACAACCAAAGTTTGGATCACTGTAAACTCTGAGCTTGATGTTATTATATCCTGCAGCTCTAGCAATCGCCGTTGCAGCTGCTTTCAAGCAGTCTTCTTTCGCTCTTCTACCATCTATCATCCGATTGCTACATAAACTTGCAACAAATGATATAACTACTGCTAACATAGCTGATCCGCAACATATTATGTTGGGAAGACAATTCATCATTTATCCCCACCTTCCCCAAAGAAGGACAGCATATATATTGACATGATTTTCTTGACTTCTTATTTTGGAAATGTTCTGCACTCCGTACATTAGGGAATAATACGTGCAAAACTTGTATACTACTGTTGAAAGAACAAGTAAAAGAATCAGTGAACGCTTTTTTAGCATAAATCTAAATTTTGCGATTAATAGACGGAACATTTTTTCATGGTAATATACTACCTCCATTTCATATTTATTTATACGTTTGTAGTATTAAATTTTGAGATATTGATACTGGAATGATCCTAATGGAGTTGCTTTCTTAACTTCACATCATATGTTCACATAATGATTGAAATACAGAATAGTAACAACAAATTATGTCTGCCTAAAAAAATGGAAGTTGAGTGCATGATGTGCTTTATTTTCTTCCTCCTCCTTAATTTTGCAACGTTTATTCACAAACGTTGCAAGTCTTACAACATACACATTTTAAGAATAACTTATCTTCTTCCATACCGCAAATATTCAGTATACCTACATAGTTACATTTATATCTCTAGTTAAGTAGTTATTTAATAATTGCAATCATAGAGATAAGTTCGTAATTTTTCTTTTCACTCTCTTCCTTTTTTACACTATCTAAAATCTTGTACATTTCCCCATGTTATGATAATAAAGGCACAGAAATATTAGTTTTTTTGTCACATTATGGACCTAATGTCATTATGTGAAATCACAGGTCTTTGTACACTGATATTTGATTTACAATTTTGAAATTTTATCCAAACAGTCTTCATTTTTTTGTAAAGTTTATATAGCTAAGGTTGCAAAGATTACCTCATTTCTCGGAAAAATTTGGCATGTTCGACATCGACCCCAAAATCTTATCCGAAACATGATTAAGGGAAGTTGCAAAAAAGGGAAGTTGGGTCAATAAAACTACGCTTATCAAGATGACACCGGTCGCAGCTGGGAAAAAAAAAAAAAAGATATAGACAGCACTCAGCAGCATGAGTTCTGGCACCTGCAAATACCATGACTCTGCCCATCCCTGCTTACACTGGAAATACATTTACTGATAATTACCATTGCCATCCCAGTCTTTCAGTACACTTAACCTGCTAAATCTGGCGTATGGTGTAGCACTGCTTCAACTCTTGCTTTGTTTCCTCTTCCTTCCATTATAAATTTGTGGTGGGAGAAGGATGTGATAGTTCATCTCTTTAATTTCTGGTGGCAACCGGTGAGACTAGTATAAAATAAATCTTAAGACTACTATAGAAGGAGGGCACACATATAGCATTACAGCAGATACAAATGCTAATCTGCTACAAATCGATTAAGGGAGGCTGCGATGGCAGCTCATCTACGTAGATAATACAGCTTGAAAAGACCACCATATATACAATTAAGTATGGTAATTATATCTTGAGAAATCAGAATTCAGTAAAAGCTCTCAATAGCAAAGAAAGTGATGCAATTGATTACATTAGTTAACAAGAGCTGTTACTGACAAAGAAACACCTAATTTTGAGGTTCAGTAGTTATACAAGAGAACTTATAAAAACAAAAAAGCCTCAGCAAGGTCTGCTAAGGTTACCAAGGATTGCATTGTTTTGATTATATTTTAATATCAGTACAAACATGAAAAGGGCTAGCACTGATTCAAGTATGCAATTGATATGTATGTTTGTATATGAGGTTACCCAGAATTACTTCTTGATAGAGATTGGTCTTGTTTCTTCGTGTAAAGATGAATGATTTACAAAGCTTAATAATCCCACACGCTCATGATCCAACAAGCCCTTTAAAACGAGCATATGCGACAATAACCACAAAGAATACAGCGCTAAAAAGACCAGAAAGGATAATCACCTGCAAAATGGAAAGACCTTCAAGTACAATTGAATGCAGCAACATTTACTAGCTGAACTTAAATGCTAAAACTGTGTTGTGTACCCATTTAAAGATGTAATCGTGATTATCCATCCAAGTATAAGGTATATTCATGCCAAAAATTGCAGCCACCAAAGAGTAGATTGATAGGCAAACAGTTCCAGAACTCAAAAAAAGCTCCAGCTGCATGATAAGTAATCACAAAGAAACCAATCACATGTATCAATTATAGACAACCTAGATAATCTCAAACCCTTAAATGACATAAATATTGAAAAAAGTTTAGAAGATTAAAAAAATAATGCAAGAAATCATTAAATTGCATGTGAAACCCGCATTCAGGATTCCCAATCTAGTTACCAGTTTTTCTCACTGACAGGCAAATTAAGTTGGGAATACTAGCACAGTTCTTCCTTGCTCTAACTTTTGGGTTCCCAATTGACAAAATATTATTTGGAAGTTAAGAAACAGTGTCACACTGATTGCTCCTAAAGTCCTGAGTCAGAGTCCCTAGCAATATCAAGGAATTGACACAAAATTCCAATACCATACAAGTTAGACGCTTTTAGCCTAAAGTTTAAGCACTTTTATTTACACCCCTTATATATAAACTCAAGATTTTCAGACTTTGAGCTAAGTCCCATCATTTTGCTCAAAGCTTTACAAGGTTTCCCCCACATAAAATCTTCTATTCTCATAAAGAAGAATTGCCTTTAATTTTGAACCATAAGACTAAAAATAACAAGCAAAAGGAGAGAAGATTGGATCTATTTTCTTTTGATGAACCCATTAATTCTTGACTCTTGTTTCTTGGAGAGTTGAGTTGGTGTAAGCAGAAGTAAGAGACATGAATTAAAAAGGTGGGTGGGTGTAACAAAAACGTACATAAATTACTGGAAAGTAGTGAAAAGGTGTATTTAGAAGAACAAAAAAAAAAAAAAAAAAAAAAAAAATGGGACATGGAGGTAAGAATCGAAAGATAGTGAAATGTGTTTGTGAAATACAAAGTACTTCATATTAAACAGGTAGGTACACCAAATAAAAACACATCAAAATGGAAGGTGGGTACATCATAAAAGCAGAGGGAGTGGTAAAATTCCCTTGTGTCTCTACCAACTTCATGACCTTTGTCACATATATTATTCTTGTATCTCTTGCACCGATAATTACATCAACCAGAGCCACATGTAGATGACCAAAGCAAAGGAAGCCATTCCTTTTGCTAGCAATATTAAAATAAGCACAAATTGTTAACAAGACTCATAAGCAAAAGTGTTTTTTTGGCATTGTTCACTCAAAGACATACTCATAAAACTTTTAGCCAAAGCCTTTTGACTTAATGGATCTGAGTTTGGCAGCCTTTATTCAGTTCGGTTGCTCATCTACCATGTACTCTTAAAATTATTGCATCTAGCTAAATCTTGAAAGAAAATCCTTTATAAGAAATAAAAAAATTAAAAAATAAGAAAAACACCCTCATGAAAGAAACTAAGAAAGAGGAGAATTTATGGCATCAAGTGCTTAGGGTCAAATACAGGTAAAGGTTCGCTCTGATACATACTGTATGAAATTAGCAGATTAGTGAGGAAAGCCAATACAAGCAGGATCCTCAGAAACAAGGAAATAACGATCAATTAATTTAGTAAAACAAATGGTGCTTCAATTCTAATAAAGTTCTATATTCGAGCATGATTGTATATATTCGAGCATCAGAAGAAGGGGAGAGAGGGGAGAGTCCACACCTGAATCAACTGATTTCGATAATTGTCAAGCTGCAGAGAAGATCAAGTTTCAGTAACAACAATAGAGGCATTCATGTTTCAGATATCAAAGTCTAGATTGAAGCAAATCTAAAAGATTAACTCACCTGAATGTTAATGTAATCCTCAGTGTCATCAATGTATTCACGAAGCTGCAAGTTCCAATTTAAAATCATCATGTTATGGTTGTAAAAAATAAAGGTATAATGTGCAGAATGCAATTTACACAAGCACCATTACCCCGAACAATCCCAATCCACTCCTTTACACAATGACAACTAACCAACAAGGGTAAGCAACAGGCAACCAGCTCAAGTAACACAATACAGAATTTTTTTCTCTGGCCAAATAAAATATTGTAGGTTATATTAAGCTAATTGGAAGATGGAACGCTGAGCCCTTTCTCACAAGGTTCATGTAACAAGTTAACAGAACAACGCTAGAGGTGAGACATACATGTTAAAATTGCATACAGTGCATAAAAACTTTTGTTGCACTGTAGACAACAGGAACCAAAAAGAAAATATGATTAAGATTATCAGCAAAGTATAATAGAAATTCGGAGAGTTGACATAACTGGCACTTAAGATCTTCCATTTCAGTTGGACCAAGAGGCCTTTGACAGAAACAATGAATCCCCTTACAAAATTACATTTTAGGGCTCACATTTTTAAGCATTTTCTATCGTATCTCTACAAATATTAGGAAAATGCTGACCCTCACTGACCACCAACCACATTCGTTGAAAATAAAATTAATATAAAAGAAATTATTTTAAAGTGAAAAGCTATTTATTGTTGTAAATATGATTGTCTTTAGCTTCATGACCTATTCTACATGAATTGCTGTAATAACTTCTAACTTCTTGTTTTACAAGTATTAATGTTATGGACAAACAAACTAGCATGAAAGCTTGAGCCAATTGATATACAACTCAAGATGACTTACATGAAAAGAATATTGAAGAGTTTTTTTTTTCCCCCTTCCATATGACCATATCCCAAATTTCAGTCTACAACTTCATAACCTATTTTATTTGATTTGCTATAGTAGGTTTTAAAGTCTTGTTTTACAAGTCTTAAGGTTAAGGATGTATAAACTAGAAAGAGAAATTGAGTCAATTGATATACAACTTGAGATGATGAATAATCCTCCCATACCCTTTGGGTTTCTTGCCTAATTATTTTATTAACTCATAAAAAAACTTACTCTCTTCCCCAATCTCCACTATTTTGAACCAATCATCACCACAGCTGCTCAACATGTTAAATTGGACTACAAAATACAGTTACATGGGCTAGGTCAGATATGATAGAGTTATGAGAAAGAGAATGTTGGAAAGCTTGATTATATTGATGAATATAGACGAGTATATATAGTACAAGATTAGAACATTGAACATACCAAACTACGACTAGATACAATATGTGACTAGCTACGTTAGCTAATTATAAGGGATATACTTTGACTATCAAAATTAATGAGTAAATCAAGGGATTTACATATTCTAAATAATGATAATGATGATATAATCATCTTTATCCTTTATACGCCTCCGCAAGACGGACGTTCGAAACGAGAGACCGATCTTGGATATAAGATCTCAAATCTTGTTCAAGGAAGGAATTGAAGTGGTGGTGAGAAAGGTTGCATTGCATTGCGATTCTCCAATAAGGTCTAGAGGGAGTGGAGCAATAGAAGGTTTTTTTTTATTTTTATTTTTTATTTTTTTTTTGGCTAAGAAGAAGAAAAAGAAAAGGAAGTGTTTTAAAGGAGTTTTTTTTTTTTTTTTTTTTTTTTGATGGAGGAGTTGCGTGAAGAAGTTAAAAGATAGTATATATAGAGAGAGATTAAGAAGTTGTTTAATGGGTGTTTTTCACGATTTTTAAACACATGAACCATTGATTGTAAATATTAAAAAAAAAATAAAGAAATTTCAAATTGGCTAGCGTATGCTTGCAACAAATGAAAGGGAAAAATATATAGAGGTTCCTTGACCACCATTGAAGGCGAGATAGAAAAATTGTAATGGTGGTGTGATGGTGGTTTAGAACATAATGTTATGTTTCTCCATAATGGTTTTGGAGAGAATTTCGTATATGATAACACTTGGTAGGTAAACTACGGGATATTGAAAGAACTTTGTTTCTCCTTGTAAGGGGTTTGGAGAAAAAAAAATATATATGTCAATGGCATATCTTGGTATATGAAATACGGGGTGCCAAAAGAGTTGAGCAAAAAGTGTGTTTTTGGTTTGAAGCTTTCCGAGAAGAAAGTTTGATATGGTCACCATCATTTGTCGGCGTCAACAAAGGGTTTTGATAGTGTAACCATGGTAGTAGCGGAAGCAAGAAAATATGGATCAAAAGCTCATGATACCATGATAGAGTTATGAGAAAGAGAATGTTGGAAAGCTTGATTATATTGATTAATATAGACGAGTATATATAGTACAAGATAACATTGAACATACCAAACTACGACTAGATACAATATGTGACTAGCTACGTTAGCTAATTATAAGGGATATACTTTGACTATCAAAATTAAGGAGTAAATCAAGGGATTTACATATTCTAAATAATGATAATGATGATATAATCATCTTTATCCTTTATAAGATATTCCTGTCTCTAACAATATGCAGATTCACCACATTTCAGATAAACTTCTATTCACATAGATGCAAGCAGATTAACTACAGGATTGCATATTAAGCTAAATAGTTCTTCACAATACATACCGTTGTTAATTTATTTAATGTCCCGTCAATTTGCATGAAATAAGCCTGTAATTCACATCCAGAGCAAATGAAGATTACAGTTAAATTATTCACACTAACAAATGGCTCGAACATTATCTTGCACTTTGTACAAGAAATTGCAGGCTCATACAAGTGTTTAAAAGAGAAGATAATATAAAGTAAGGACACACCATTAGAAAGTAAGTCATCTCTTCCAAAAAAAAAAAAAAAAAAAAAAAAACCTAATAAGGATTGTTATAATAACCTCTAGCAACATCTCGAGTTCCTCAACATCATTCTCATCACCACGACCTGTGACCATACTTGCTCTGCTTGCTCTCGATACCTTAGAGGTAACAGTAGGGGAACTAGGAAACCAGTTGGCTCCTGATCCACTAACAGGTGAAGCAGGAGCAGCCAACTTTCTGGACAGGTAAAGGTCAGCCATATCACCATCATCATCCAAAAGTTGTTCAAGCTCATCTCTCACCTACAAAAATCAAATTACTTGAACTTACAACAATAAGAAGACATACAGATTATTTACGAAGTTATTCTAGGTAAAGAAATAACAAAAATTCTAGTTCTTAAGCTTGAATGATGGAAAAAATTATCTTAAAAATAAAGTCCCACCATCTTCTTGTCATACGGATAACCATTTGTTGGTAAAATAACTGTTGAAATCAATAACAAACAATAAAAGATTAGAACTTTCCTGGATTGAAGATCCCAAACTCACAGTCGCGCCGTGGAACAATAATCCACTGCCTTAGAAGCGAAATACGCCACCACCGGTACAAGTTTCCTAGTGACGCACGCCCCCCAAGTTTAACGCAACTCTCTCCGTAATCCGTGCACCCGAACTCGAAGAGTGGAATTGCTCGAGAACTGTTCAGATCTCAAAAGGTAGGTTTGTGTTTTCGGCTAGAAAAGTGAATAATGTCACGAAAAGGTAAGACTCGTATTTATATGAGTCCTAGAAAAGGAAACACGTAATCAAACCGACCTAGGAAAAAAGGCGGGCCCGATCGGGCGCGAGATCAGGTTTTTCCAGACGTAGTGTCGCGCTCGGTCGGGCGATCTGAAATCCCCATTCCGGGCGAGCCATCGGGCGAAGCCGCCCGATCGAGCTCGTCAAAAACTTGAGTCCGCCGCCCGGTCGGGCGCGAGAGATCTCGTAGAAAAACTCTTGTCCGTCGCCCGGTCGGGCGAAGCCTGCCCGATCGGGCGCGAGAGTTCCCGATTTTTCCTTGACCACCTTCGCCCGATCGGGCGCGAGTCATCCGATTGCATTACTATTTCCAACAATTCCCCACTAATGCGAGCAGATCTTCAACATGAAATCTGAACAGTAAATGAAAGTCTTAGTACTTAAATGCTAGTATCCAAAGGTTTGAACTAACACATTAGTGCACAAGGTTTTCAACACTTCCCTAGTGAGTATCCTAAGATTTGAACTCCTAGGAGCGAGGAAGGGACCTTGAATGCACATACCTTGACTTTAGAGGTTAAGCAACTCCGCTAATCTTGGCCAACACTTGGGCTCTCCTGAGTACTTCAGGAAAACAATACTTCAGTCTTCCCTTGAGAGAGGCCACCTCTCGTACTCACGTAGGTGTTCATCCTATGTGTTACTCACACACGTTCCCAGCAAATTCAAAGGTCTTTCCCTGCAGGCTTAAACGTGTTTAAGCACCTTGCAAACCTAAGAAATCCATGCAGTGGAACTAGAACATTAAGAACATAAGTTCAACCCTTCAACTTTCGGTGTCATTATCTATCCTGTTTTAAGAGCCACTAGGACAAAGGTCTTAACTCTTTAAGAACCTCCACCTATCCCTGCTCAGAAAACAACTGGACTAATGACATTAAGAGATAAACTCATCCTAACAGAATCAACTTACCACTCTTATAGAGTAATAGATTCAAACACATGATACACATATAACAAATCCACATGATTCATTGCAATGAAACAGAATAACCAAAACAGGTTCTTGATTTATTATAACCAATGTATCATGTCACATAGCTAGAATAGCTACCATTTCAAGTCATTACAACAAGGGTCCTAAACCCATACCAGCTGATGACTCCACCACTAGTCTACGACTCGAACCCTTAGTAAAAGGGTCTGCTAGGTTTTTCTCTGTTCGAACATAGTCCAACGAAATAACCCCATTCACAATAAACTGCCTCACAGACTCGTGTCTGACTCTTATGTGGCTTTTCTTACCGTTGTAAACGCTATTTTTAGCAACACATATAGCGGCTTGTGAATCACAATGCATAGAAACAGGTGGTGACGGCTTCCCCCACAAAGGAATATCAATAAGCAAATTTCTCAACCAATCTGCCTCTTGTGTAGCAAGATCCAATGCGATGAACTCAGCTTCCATAGTTGATCTAGCTATACATGTCTGCTTACCAGACTTCCATGAAACTGCACCCCCACTAAGGGTAAACACATAGCCACTTGTAGAGCTTGTTTCATCACTATCCGTTACCCAATTTGCATCACAATACCCTTCAAGAACCAAAGGATGACCAACAAAATTCAATCCCCAAGACATGGTTCCACATAGATATCTGAGCACACGCCTCAAAGCAACCCAATGTTGCTCACTAGGACAATGAGTATAGCGACTAAGTCTACTAACAGCAAAAGCAATATCAGGGCGAGTGCAATTCATTAAAAACATCAGACTACCAAGCACCTTAACATATTCAGTTTGAGACACACCGTCCCCCACATTTTTCACCAAAGCTCCAGAAGGATCAAAAGGAGTTCTCAAAGGAGGCAAATCAAAACAATTAAAGTTCTTCAGAATTTTCTCCACATAATGAGACTGAGACAGAAATTACCCTTTCTTGGTTTTAGTAACTTTAACACCAAGGATCACATCTACCTCTCCCAAATCCTTCATCTCGAACTTTGAATTTAAATATTTCTTAGTTTCATTTATGACACACATGTCTGTGCCAAACAGGAGCATGTCGTCAACATACTGGCATAATATCACACATTGCGCACCAAACATCTTAGAGTACACACATGCATCACTACCATTGACAACAAAACCAAAACTAAGAATAGTTTTATGAAATTTTTCATACCATTGCTTCGGTGCTTGTTTCAAGCCATATAAGGATTTCTTTAGTCTGCACACCTTATTCTGCATCCCAGGAACTACAAAACCCGGAGGTTGCTCCATGTAGATCTCCTCCTCCAAATCGCCATTCAGAAAAGTTGTCTTAACATCCATCTGATGCACAATCAAGTTGTAAGATGAAGTTAAAGCAAACAAAACACGAATGGTGGCAATTTTAGTCACCGAAGAATAAGTATAAAAATAATCAAGGCCAAATTTTTGAGTGAATCCACTTATCACCAATCTAGCTTTGAACCTTTCCACGGTGCCATCGGTTCTCATTTTTCTCTTGAAAATCCACTTGCACCCAATAGCTCTGCTCCCTTTTGGCAGGTCCACAAGCTCCCAGGTTCCATTTGACATGATTGAGTCAAGCTCACTGTTTACAGCTTCCTTCCAGAAGGTTGCATCCACTGAACTCATAGCTTCTTCAAACGATTTCGGATCTTCATCCACAACCTGTAGATACAACATGATCTCCTCTAGATAATCTTCGAACTCACCTAGATTTCCGCACTCTGCTATAAAGGCTGTTAGGAAATCAGGTCCAAAGCTTGTCTCCACTCTTTGCCTTTTACTTCTCCTAGGTTGAATCTCACTTTCAATCCTAGGGGAAGTATCTTCTGGCTGTGCAGATGAAGGAACTGAAGAAACATCGTTAGTAACAAAATTTTTCTTCAAAGGAAATACCTGTTCAAAGAACTCTGCATCACGAGATTCAGATATAGAGCGATCTTCCAGACTCATAAACCTGTATGCGGCACTATTCTCAGCGTAGCTAATGAATACTGTATCATAGGTCCTAGAACTTATAGTTGAGCGCTTGAACGATGGATAGCCCACCTTAGCTAGACACCCCCACACTTTCATGTGATTCAAGTTTTGAGCATAACCCTTCCATATTTCATATGGAGTCTTGTCTAACTTCTTGTGAGTTACTCTGTTCTGTACATAATTAGCTGATAGAACCGCTTCACCCCACAAATTGTCTGGCAACCCGGAACTTAGGAGCATTGCATTCATCATTTCCTTCAAGGTCCTATTTTTCCTCTCTGCCACACCATTTTGCTGCGGAGTGTACGGGGCCGAAACTTCGTGAATTATTCCCTCACTTTCACATAAGTCCTTGAGGAAATCGGAGCCATACTCTCCACCCCTATCTGAGCGAACTCTTTTTATTTTCCGCTCCAACTGATTTTCTACCTCTGCCTTATACACAAGAAACTTGGACTCAGCTTCATCCTTCGTCCTCAAAAGATACACCCTGCTATATCTAGAACAATCATCAACGAAGGTGATATAGTAGCGTTTCCTGCCTCTACTTTCCAAGTTCTTAAAGTCTGCTAAATCTGAATGAATTAGCTCAAGTGATGTGGTCTCTCTCTTCGTGACAGATTTATAGGGTTTCTTCACGAATTTAGACTCCGCACACACTTCACATTTTTCAAATCCATCTAATGACATATTTGGGAGCAAATTTAAACTTTTCATTTGTTTCAATTTTATTGCACCAACATGACCCAATCTACTATCCCATAATTCAAAGGACTCAACAATATAAGCAGTAGTAGAAATCTTATTCATTGAAGGAACAGTTACAATCTCAAGAACAAATAGGCCCCCACTAAGGTAACCCTTTCCAACATACTCCCCATTACGGGTTAACACAAGTTTATTAGCATCAAAAACTAACTTAACTCCTACTTTGTTCAACAAAGCACCAGAAATTAAATTTCTACGAAGAGAAGGAACATACAGCACATTGTGAAGAGCCAAGGTCTTCCCTAAGGTCAGCTTCAGAACCACTTTTCCCTTTCCAAGTACCTCAGAGCTGCTTGAATTTCCCATGTAGACTTGTTCACCTTCCTTTGCATCTTCCATACTAACAAGCAGGTCCTTGTTAGCACAGAAGTGTTTAGATGCACCAGTGTCCACGATCCATTCACTGTTGTTCTCAACCAGATTGACTTCAGAAACAACTGCAGCAATGACATCTTCATCCTCATTCTCAACCAGATGAGCATGACCCTTGATTCCTCCACTCGATTTCAGATTTTTCTTCTTCTTATTTTTTCACTGTGAAGCAAAGTGCCCCACTTCACCACATGACCAACACTTTCCAGTGACTTTCTTCCCAATCTTGCCCTTAGCTTAGAGAGTTCCCTTCTTCTCAGAGTTCCCCTTCTTGGCACGATTATCACTTGCTTTCTTGTCAGAGTCAGCACCAGATTCAACAAGGTTAGCCTTGATTGCTAACACATTTTTAGGCTTAGAGGAAACATCCTTAAGCCTATTGGCTTCCTCAATCTTCATGTGGCTCACAAGTTCTTCTAGGGTTAGATCCCTCTTTTTATGCTTGAGGTGATTTCTATAATCAGAACAGGAATCAGGCAATTTTTCAATCAAGACATTAGCCTGAAGGATTTCACACATCTTCATACCCTGAGCAAGAATTTCAGCAACATAATTTTCATACACATGGACTTGGTCCATAATAGGCTTTGTATCAACCAATTTGAAATTCAACCAATTTCCAGTCACATACTTCTTTTTCCCAGCATCATCAGCACCATATTTCTTCTTTAAAGACTCCCACATCTCTTTAGCAGATTTTATATTGACATACAAATCAAAAATGTTGTTTTTCATGCTGTTCAAAAGATGACCTCTAACGAATTTATTATCACGATCAAATTTCTTGATTTCAGATTCATTAGCAATAATAGTAGTGATCCTTTGACTAGAACTAGATTCTTTATTCCCAAGAGCAGGAGTACTAGGAATTTCAATCATGGTATTGGTTTGCTCAATGGGTTTTGGAGCATCCCTAAACAAAACATAATCAATCTCTACTTGTTCAAAGCAATCAACATCCTCTGTGACCATCTCTTATAATTAATTCCATCAAGAGACTCAACCTTAGACAGATCTAGGTATAGACGAGTTTGAGAATTGCTAGTCATGATATCAACAGAATAAATCAAATTCTATTTCGCTTCTAAATTGTTGGTAAAATAACTGTTGAAATCAATAACAAACAATAAAAGATTAGAACTTTCCTGGATTGAAGATCCCAAACTCACAGTCGCGCCGTGGAACAATAATCCACTGCCTTAGAAGCGAAATACGCCACCACCGGTACAAGTTTCCTAGTGACGCACGCCCTCCAAGTTTAACGCAACTCTCTCCATAATCCGTGCACCCAAACTCGAAAAGTGGAATTGCTCAAGAACCGTTCAGATCTCAAAAGGTAGGTTTGTGTTTTCGGCTAGAAAAGTGAATAATGTCACGAAAAGTTAAGACTCGTATTTATATGAGTCCTAGAAAAGGAAACACGTAATCAAACCGACCTAGGAAAAAAGGCGGGCCCGATCGGGCGAGCTGCCGCCCGATCGGGCGCGAGATCAGGTTTTTCCAGACGTAGTGTCGCGCCCGGTCGGGCGATCTGAAATCCCCATTCCAGGCGAGCCATCGGGCAAAGCCGCCCGATCGGGCTCGTCAAAAACTTTAGTCCGCCGCCCGGTCGGGCGCGAGAGATCTCGTAGAAAAACTCTTGTACGTCGTGCGGTCGGGCGAAGCCCGCCCGATCGGGCGCGAGAGTCCCGATTTTTCCTTGACCACCTTCGCCCGATTGGGCGAGAGCCGCCCGATTGGGCGCGAGTCATCCGATTGCATTACTATTTCCAACACCATTAGTCAACAAATAGAAGTAGAGGTTGATACTTTCATTGTCAGATGTGCCTTCTACCACCTCTTCTGAGGAAGATGAAAGGAACTACAAGGTGAGGCGTTCGTATGTTTAGGCATGGAGCTTAACGGTACTTTCGCACCAAAAATTCTTAGTTAGGCATTTCACCTTCACCTATATGCCCAAATCGGATATGGTTTCTTTACAAAAGAAACGGCTTTGGCTGTATGCCATGAGTGTGGAGTGTCTTGTAGACATCCAAGTGATATGGTTTTACGAACTTAATGCCATGCATGGGGATATTTGGTGGTGGTGCCACTATAGGAGTTATAGAAGCTCCACCATCTCCTTCCCTTCTCTTTGATTTACTCCTCCCAAAAATTTTAAATACCCGGGTTTGGTGTCAATGGTAATGAGATGATACAAAATTTTTAATAAATGAAGGAGGGACAAAGGATTAGTAACAGAGGCTCATAGAGCCCACATCACATGCGTTATACATGGGGGCTTTCGCTTTGAAGTGAGAGGACAATTATTTGGAGACTTCCATAATAGAATACATGACAAACATCTGTAGGAGGGTCCATTATATAAGCACAAGAAGTAATTATACCATGGTACATACCCAGCTAAAATGCTAGTATCATGAGAATATCTAACTTGACATTACATGCAAATTTAAAATTAGGGAAAACTTGGATAATAGTGTTGAATGCCCAGCCCATAACTCTCCCACTCCCTTACCATCACCCCCCCCCCCCAAAAAAAAACACACACACACACACACACACAAAACTAAGGAATTGGAGATAAATAAAAAAGAAAAGCTAGATTGGCAAGTCATTATAGTAAAACACAATTGACAATTCAAAACTCCATCATCAAAAAATAAAAATGAAAACCTTATCGCACATATAGCCTTGTATTTCAAATAAATCAGTTTAATACAGCCAAAATCAAGAAATAACATCTAAGAATAAAACCTTTCAACCCCATCTTTAAAGGGTGTCTTCAAAAGTATAAAAGATGTAGAGAATTAGCTGACTAAATAGTTGGATTAACAAAAGATGAGAAAGTAGAACCTTTTGAACACGAGCAGTCAATCTTGTCATTGCACTTTTCAATTTCCTTACCCTGTCCAAGTTCCAGCTGCTTATCTGCAGTTAAGCACAAGTTAGTACAGAAATCAGATTATTTTAGGTGATTTAGATTTATGAGTGGGCTGTGAATTTTGCTTATATTATATTTTTAGTAGTATTAACAATATTGCTAAGTAGAAGGAAAATAAAGAGAAAATCATACATATGTGACCTATAATTAAATGGAGCAACAGATAATGCAAAATATTTTAGGACATTAAAGAAGAGATTTTGTGTGAAAAATTAAACCAATTAGGAATAAATAGAGAGGTTTACAATATTAAAAGAGATGTGACTTTTTGCAATCGGTAGTTCCTCATATAAAGCTAAGATTTTAATGTTAAAACACACAAAAAAAAATGTAACTATCGAATTAATTGGATCAAGCCACATGTTAGCAATTAAGAAAGTTCTACAACAAAATCAAGATACTTCATAGAACATAAGGCTACAACTTATATTTAACAAATTAGACAGCATTACTGATAAAGCCAAAACAAGAGAGAAAAAGTGATTATTTTCTAACCAACGTCCCCGATACGGATTATGGAAAGAAAAATTATTTTTTATAAAAAGGACATTAATGTGAACACAAAGGGTAATTCTTTTGTAGAGCCTATCACTCTATTACTCAACCCTATGGGTTTTGATGTTGACAAAAGGCAAGCTTGGTGACAAGACTCACAAGGACAGCAAGTCAACTTGAAGGAGCCGAAGCTAAACCCTAGGTTCTACCTAGGTGGGAATTTACTCTTTTTTTTTTAATAAAAAAAAAAATTACTCCTATTCTATCTTTACTAGATTTCTAGTTTTAGCCCCAAGGTTTTGGAATCAACTTGGATTCATTTAATTTAGTAAAGTTGAAGTTTCCTAAAACATGCAAAACTGTGTGCTAGTTGTTACTTGCTAATGCTAAGGAGAATCAAGGTTTCCTAATGGCGGTTTCATAGCTATTGAGTGAGGGACTTGTCCTAACCAACTTAGGAAAGCTAAACCTAGTAGATGTAGGTTTATTTCAAGCCTATAAATAACGCATAATGATGTAATGTATGACAATAACTTCAGCTTGATACAACTTGTTTTGCTTAAGATTTGTGCTTTGCTCTTGTGTGCTCTTGATAATCAATTAAGGAGAGTTAAAATTATCAAATCACTTAGCTTCAGGATGTGGTCTAAGTAATTTGAATAGTCAAGGCATTCGTCCAAGAGGTGGTCAAGTGGCGAGTGCACTTGTCATATCCAGTTCACTAACTATAATTTTTCAAGAAGGTACTCAAGATCAGATCTTTATTTCAAGATTATGATATTTCTTACACCTTGACTCAGGGGGTTAGGATCCACATTCGACATCCAAATATCTCACAAGCATAATACCTAACAGAGTTGACCTAATACCAAATCCACCAAAGTTACAGTTTTCAAAGGACATGGGAGCCTAAACATTTTTCAAAAAGCCCATTACGGTGGCACACTAACCTTAGACGTCAGCTCATCCAATGCTGGATAAGCAGCAGTTTCCAGATCAGTAGTACGTGCAGCAAGAAAGCTACATATTGAGTCCAAGGCTACCTCAAGTGCACGGAATTCAAAGGGAGATTTTACAAATTTGATGGAGATAATCAGCTAAAGGAGAGTTCAGATACAACAATTAAGGAATGACATAAGGAATATATAGAGGCTAAAAAAACATTTTTAAATAAGAAAGATAAAATGAAAATAATATCTATGCGTTTAACATCACAACTCAACATTTTGGGACTAAGGCTATGTTGTTGTTGTTGGTTTAATATCACAACTTCGCAAGACAAAAACCCACAATTCCCACCTTCGTGGATGATAATCAAGGATGAAAATACCCTTGAGATTTTGAGAGTGAATGTAATTTACCATCTTCTTTAGTAGCTTCAACATCATGTCCTCCTGATTCCTTCCCATCTCCATGAACTTTATGTGCAGCACTTCCTGGGGATAAGCGCCTCTGAAGTTCTTGAACAACAGGGATTACATTTTCTTCCAAAGGGTCTCTGTAGAATTGTATAAACTTACGGCTTAACCTTCATTAATTGGGGCAAAATATATATATACAACTCTTATTCCTAGTGTTACCTTAATTAGGTTACTAGAAATAAGGAAACAATATAAAAGATAGAAACAAATATATCTACCCAAAATATATCCTCAATACCCCCCCTCAAGTTGGAGCACTAGGATCATAAGTCCCAACTTGGACAAAATACTGGCAAATTGTGACTTCCTAAGAGCCTTCGTGAAGATGTCGGCCAATTGAGTAGTCGTAGGAACATACGAAGGAGAAATCAAGCCGTCTATAATTGCATCTCGAACAAAGTGACAATCGACTTCGATATGTTTTGTCCTTTCATGAAAGACTGGATTCTTCGCTATGTGCAAAGCAGATTGACTATCACAAAACAATTTGATTGCCTTAGGATGTTGCACACCCAAACTTAGCAACAACCCCTTTAGCCATTTTAGCTCACAAGTAGCAGCATACATAGACCTGTACTCAACATCACAACAAGATGTCGCCACAGTTGGTTGCTTTTTAGTCTTCCATGAGATGGGCGAATGACCCAAAAACACCAACCAACCTGTGACAGAGTGACGAGTCAGTGGACAAGCCGCCAGTCTGAATCACACCAACCCTCCAGAGTGAGATCACTAGTAGCACTCAACAAGATACCCTGACCGGGGTGCCTTTCAAATAACGAACAACACGAAGAGCTGCTTCCCAATTCTCAATGCGCGACTCCTTCATAAACTGAGACAAAATATGAACGGAGTATGCTAGATCTGGTCTAGTTAACCCTAGGTAAATCAAACGACCAACCAACCTACGATATGCTTCCGGATCCCCTGGAAGCGCACCTGTAGCACGACCGACTTGTGGTTTTTCTCCACGGGAAAACCACTCGGCTTTTCCCCTAACAAACCTGCCTCAGAAATAATATCCAACGTATATTTACGTTGGCATAAAAATAATCCTGAAGCACTACGAGCAACCTCTATGCCCAAAAAATATTTCAAAGGACCTAGGTCCTTCATCTTGAAACAATCACTGAGATAAGCCTTGAAACCAACTAGTGCAGCGGAATGATTACCAGAAATTATAAGATCATCAACATATACCAAGACATTAATTTGAACTTTGCCTTTAGTACACGTGAAAAGAGAATAATCAGAGTAAGACTGAATGAAGCCATACCCTTTCAAAGCCTGAGTTAGCCAAACCAACACCTTGGTGCTTGCTTCAACCCATACAAGGACTTGTCCAATCGACACACTAATGTAGGATCTTCACTTTCAAACCCGGGAGGCAATTTCATGTATACCTCCTCATCAAGATCACCATGCAAGAAAGCATTATGCACATCCATCTGATGTAGTTCCCAATTTTTTGAAGCTGCAATTGCAAGAAAAGCCCGAACCGTTGTCATCTTTGCAACCGGAGCAAACGTTTCACCATAATCTATGCCTTCCTGTTGATGATTACCAAAACCAACTAAACGGGATTTAAGTCGTTCAATATCACCATTAGACAAATATTTTGTCTTAAATATCCATTGACTCCCTAGTGCACGTTTACCGGGAGGAAGATGCACTAAGGTCCATGTACCGTTATCTTCCAAAGCCCTTATTTCCTCTTGCATAGATTTCCTCCAACCTTCGTGCCTCATGGCCTCTTTAAATGATTTCGGATCATGACCACCAACAATAGCTGCCAGAAACTTACAATAATTCACAGAAAACTTGTCACAATTTATATAATGTGCTAGAGGATAAGGAGTACCTGAAGGAGTGTTGAAGAACGGAGTGGAGGAAGCCGGATTGTTAGCAAACACGGAGTGAGTTACATAATCTCGGTGTCGGACATTCGGTATTTTTTCTCGATAACCACGCCCCAAGGGCTGTGGAGCTGCTGCACCTGCATCACTGTTATTGTCGCATCGAAGGCTAGCAACAGAATCAGACGGGGGCTGATCTGTGTACCCCGCGCCCATGGCATCCTAACCCGCGCCCGCGCCCCACCCGCGGCTTCCTCCTGCGGGAAGGCAGAATCAGACGCGGGCTGATCTGTGTACCCCGCGCCCGCGGCATCCAAACCCGCGCCCGCGGCTTCCTCCTGCGGGGAGGCAGAAACTTTGTGCTGCTGGGCAGCCTGCAACCCCGCGCCCGCAGGTTTCACCTGTGGGTCTAAGCCCGTGCCTCTGTCAACCTCACCATTATGCCCATATGCCACCATAACATCATTAGAATCCTCAAACTCAATAAAATCATCATGAACCTCACACCCCGAATCAAAGTTTTGAGGCGCTATATTCACATCGTCCGGAGTAGCAAACGGAAATACATTTTCAATGAACTTAACATCCCGAGACACAAAAAAACAATAGATTCAAGATCATACAAGCGCCACCCTTTCTTCCCAAAAGGATAGCCCACAAAAACACACTTTCGAATTCTTTCGACTTCTACTTGCAAACTTATCCCCATTAGTTTTCTGATTATGTGCAAAACATAAACACCCAAAAGTACGAATGGCATCAAACATAGGGGGCTTATCAAATAGGATTTCAAATGGGGTTTAATTTTGTAGCAAGGGGGTGGGAGTACGATTAATTAGATGAGCCGCGGCAAGGACACACTCACCCCAAAAATAAATAGGTAATTTGGCTTGAAATCTCAAAGCTCTCCCAACAGACAGAATATGCTTATGTTTTCTCTCAACACTCCCGTTTTGTTGCAGAGTTACCACACAAGAAGTTTAGAAGATATTACCCGTAGTATCAAAAAAATCACGCAAACAATTAAACTCAGTGCCATTATCACTTTGCACAATTTTTATGGTTTGAGAAAATTGTCTTTCCACCATAGCAACAAACATAAAAAACATACGGAAAACCTCTGTTTTATCATTCAATAAATAAATCCAAACGGCTCTAGAATAATCATCAACTATTGTCAAAAAATAACGAGCTCCGCATGAGGAAACATGTCTATACGGGCCCCACAAATCACAGTGAATTTTCTCAAAAATTCTAGATGCTTTATTATCACTCAAAGAAAAACTATCTCTAGGATGCTTAGCACGCATACATACTTCACATCCTTTATCTAAACAAGCTTTATTACTAACTGTGGGAAGTAACTTAACTACTTTCTCGGAAGGATGACCCATACGACGATGCCACAACTCCAACTCTGAATTTGCAACGCTCACATGATGCACCAAGTCCGTTTTGCTAAAGTAAAACAATCCGTCCCTCTTAGTTCCAGTTCCAATCAGCTCCTTCGTTTGGTCCTGTATAGCACAAATATAAGAGTTAAATTGGACAGTACAATTAAGTTCATCATTGAGTTGCGAAACAGAAATCAAGTTACAACTCAAATTAGGAACATAGAGTACTCCGGTGAGAGTAATCTTGTCCGATAAACAAACAGAGCCAATAAGAGATGCCGACACCGTTTCTCCATTAGGAAATCCAACCGGACATTTCTCTTTATATCAAAAAGCCAATGTTTTTCTCCGGTCACGTGATGAGTAGCTCCTGTGTCAATAATCCAAAAAGTATCATCAAACTTACCACTCAACCGATTATCGGAAATTGTTGCATTACCCATCAATCCCGTAATCGCTTTCCACTGTTCACTTGAGAATAAGCGACCCGAAGCAAAAGTGGTCGAGTCATCCAAGCTTGAACCAACACCAACCACTGCGTTGGCCTTCACCGGGCCTCCGCGACCACGGCCAGCAGGAGGCTGCCTCCCCTGGCTACTAGCAGCCCCTTCCGACCACCCATGGTTGTCACAGCAACGAGATTCTTCATGCCCACGTTTTTTACAAAATTGCAAATTTTATCGGACCAGCACCTCGAGGTTTTATGTCCCACTTTCTTACACTTTTCACACACCATCAGTGGATGGTTAGAGCCGCCACCACGACCCCTTCCGGCACCGGTTCGCATAGCAAAACCGAGAGCAGGAGGATCCTCCTTCTGCCGAGACATGCCCCGTACCTTTTCCTCTTGAGACACCTGCTAAAACGCCCTAAGCAAGGAGGGCAAGGGGTCCTGAGAAAGCAAATTGGATCGAATAGGGGCATAGTACTCGGAATATAATCTGAGCAAAAACTGTTGGAGACGATCTCCATCACGCCGATCAGCATGCTGGCGGCACTTTCCACATGTGCAAGCAATTAAAGGTTCCAATTTATCAAGTTCATCCCACAACACTGCCAATTTGCTATAATACACAGCCACGGTCATGTTCTTTGTTTGCTCACAACGATTAATATCCGATTTTAATTGTTGTATTCTTGGACCATTAACTAAGAAAAATCGTTCATGTAAATCATCCCACAATTGCTTAGCATTATCATATTGAGAAAGCATTGATTTTACCTCGGGGTCGATGGTGTTCATGAGCCAAGAAACGAGCATACAATGAATTGTAATCCAATCATCCTTCGTGCACGGCGGGGAGAAGGAGGTGATTGTACCATCAAGAAAACCGAACTTCCTCCGAGAGGACAAAGAAATCCGTACAGCGTGAGACCACTCATGAAAATTGTCAAGTTTCAAACGTTGTGAGGTAATGTAATCCCCTGGCCGATCTTGCGGTCCAAGGTAAAACGGTGAATTAGGTTCAATTTTGGTTGGAGGCAATGGAGGCGTTCCATCTTCTCCTGGCATTGTCGAACTGACGAAAAGGAAAATAGAGAAAAAAAAATTTAACCTTGCTCCGATACCATGTAGAATTGTATAAACTTACGGCTTAACCTTCATTAATTGGGGTAAAACATATATATACAACTCTTATTCCTGGTGTTACCTTAATTAGGTTACTAGAAATAAGGAAACAATATAAAAGATAGAAACAAATATATCTACCCAAAATATATCCTCAATAGTCTCGAAGCAATACCTACAAGTATATAAACAAAGTAACAAACCACGTCCTTGGGTACTTGAGGTCTCACTCTTTCACAAAGACTAGATTTTAAGCTAAAACATTAAGAAAATGAGAAATAATTTGAGGCACCAATGTTAACAGAATTATATATGAGCATTAATAGGACTATAGTACTATTTGACTATTTGTTATTCGTCTATATAAACTTGAAACTAGCAATTTTACTTGTTTGAAATTATTTCAATTACAGTATCCTGGATCAGCAAAACACCCCATACAGAATACATATCTAATGTGACTTTAACAGGCAGATTAGAATAAATGAGAAACACCAAAAATAACCTAATTAGAGTCCAATCCAATACAACACTAAGGATCCCATTAATTATAGTCCAAACCTTACAGATATTTTTTTGATGAAAACTACATCAGAGAAGCCATTTACTACATGTAATTGGTCATTATAAGAGCACAATGCAACAAAATAGTGCATTTGTTAAATCCCAAATTTTAACTTGGCTCCCCATTACAGTTCCATTAATAAACACACCCAACAAACTAATACATACAAAATGTAAAGCAGTTATCTGGACAGCATTAGAAAAGATAAGAGCAATATCCCAAAATAAAATAAAAAGAGATGTTAAATATTGGCAATACCTCATCAGCAGTTATTATTGCCTTGATATGCTGAGCATCCAAAACACCAAATAAATATACCAATCAGCAAAAGACACACAGAGACAAAGAGAAAAAGCAGAAAAGAAAATTTGAAATAATTTGTCGAGATTTGAAGTAAGAAAAGAACCTCCAAGTTCAAAACAATAGCTTTCTCTCGACCTAAAATAGTGGAAGGGTAAGAGAGAAGAGGATCCAATATACGAAGATCACGAGCATGAATTTGAACACGGTGCATAATAGCATACTTGTCAAGATCAAGAACGGTAGCCTGACCAGGAGAATCAAGCAAAATCCAACTACGTGATCCAGCAGGTTTCTTCTTTAGACCCACACTTAAACCCATCTGAGGGTCCACAGGAACTACATATCCCTCTCTCCCCATCACTGTTTTTACACTTATTTCATTCCTGCAAAAATAATCACCACAAAAAGTACACTTTTCTTCAGAGACACATTTAGAAATTTTGAAATGCAGTACTAAAATAAACTTCTACAAATAAAAATAATTAATAAACTACAAATTAACAATTTGCTATTTTGCTCCTAAGGAAACATGATGATAGTGCTTAAATAATTGTAAATAAATCAAAACTATTCTTCACATGTTTTTGTTCAAACTGCTCATGATATCGTAATCATTAATCTAAAGACACTCTCTCCATGTAAGTGACCAAAATATTATTTTGAAAGTGATCAACTAATCCATCAGTGACAAAATTAAGGCATCCAATCAATTTTTTAAACCTAATTCAGTCATTTAATCACACCTAAAAATCATTGTACTTGTATACTTAACTCAGTTAGCAATTAGCACTAAAATTTAAATTAGAAACTACTTGTATTGTTTATTGCTCTCTAACTTACAAGATGATTTATTGATTCATAAGATCTTAACTACTAGATTGCGAAAAGTACGTAATAGGTGAGGTGTAATGTTCTAGCTTTATTCCTTGAAGGAAAATATCTTGCTTGCCTCTAACTAAAAACATACATCTGTAGGGAATAGATTTCAAGCGTTAATCCCTAGCTTGAACCCCACTGTGATCATACACTAAAGTACGGTGGCGTCCAAAAGGGAAGAAGATAGAGCAAAAGAGTCGCCAACAAGTTTTAGGAACTTGTAAATCGTTCACGAGGTGAAGGTTACACCCCTTAACGATCCAAGAGATCGTCAACTCCATAAGGTCTAGAACCAAATAAGGGTTTGGGGATGAAGGTACAAATCCAAGCTAAAAGAGATTGAACCTGCCCTAATAATTGGCCTCTACTTTATTCTGATCGTATTCATGTGCGCTTTCTGACTAACATGCAATCAATAGGATTAACCCTAAACCTGTTTATCTATGTTGGTTGAATTTAAATGCACAAACAAAACTATTATTGGCGATCACTTGAATTATAATCATATTAACCCTAATAAGATTATTAATTATCTTATTAAGCGTGATTACAAGTATCAAAATTCCCTTTAAACATGCATAAAAAAGGTGTGATCAAGCAATAAAAATAAATATCAAGCAACATAATAAATAATCATAATAAATAATAATAAAAATAATAACAATTATAAAAATAATCATCATTATAAAATTATAATCATGTTAAAGCATAAGAATAGCAAGATCCTAGGCATGATACTAACAAGATTAATAACAAACCCTAATATGTCACTAAGCAATTAAAATCAAATCTTTAGCCCTAACATGATACTAACAATCATAAATATTAGGAAGAAAATAAAAAGCATCGTAGGAACCATATTTAAGCATATTTGATATTAAAATTACCCTAGACATGATACTAGGAATATCATAATAACAATATAAACATGATTTCTACATCATAATATCAATTAAAACCATTAAAATACTTACTTTGATACCTCGTACCTCATTCTAATAACAAAATACACACGTTAGTAACTTTAAGGAAAATAATAATCAAAACAACAATTAAATTAAATAATTGAAATATAGATTTGGGACCAAACCCTCAGAAATTAAAATCTTTCACGTCTAGGGTGAAGGCAACTTCGAATATGGCTAGGTGTTTCAAGATCTTGTGAATGCGGAATTTTGTATGTGAAAAACAAGGTTTGAGAAAGAAAGAGAAAGAATTAAAGATGAATAATTAAGGGAATTAAGAGAATTAATGAAAACTGATTGTAGGTGAATATTCGTGAGAATTGGTTGTTGGTGAATGAAAACGGAGTTTTTAATATGTTATTTATAGAGAAATCAACCAAAAAGATAAAATATCAAAACAGAGCACTTGGCGCACGCAAAACGAGGTTGGCGCACGCAAAACAGAGCTGGCGCCAGCACCAGGTAATTGGCGTCAGGCGCCAATGGCTAGCACCAGGCGCCAATTGCTGGCGTCAGGCGCCAGGCCTGGTTCCAGGCGCCAATGCCTGGAGTCAGGCGCCAGGCCTGTTTTTGACGCGTTTTCGAAAATCAGATAAGTTTGCCGTACTGGAGGATAAAATCGTATCTGATCTTTTCCTCGAAAATGCTTTTTGATTTTAATTAAACTCCGAAAAGTCAACAAAAGTCAATTTATCAATGCTAATTGAATTAGGAATGAAAATAACCTTCTAGAAGAATCTAGAAGACTAAAACCATTCCTAATTGCATTATGAATGATAAATCATATTAGGCCCTCCCCTAGATCATTGGGCCGTATATAAGGCTCAAACCGGGTCCAGTTTGGTAAATTGGCCATAACTTCCTCAATATTCATCGGAATTGGGTTTATAATATATCGTTGGAAAGATCTTTGCAAGCCCCATCCAACTACAGCATTATTGGACCCATATCATGGACCAAACAAATTGGATTGGTTGTTTTCTTAAAATAAGTTTTCAAAAACAGAGAGAAGAGAAAAGATATTAAAACTATCCGCAACACTAGACTTTCCACATTTTCGCTTCATTCGATTATGATTCGATGCGAAAGGTACTTGTAGACACCCAAATGTGTCTCACCAAAACCAAACCCAGTGATGAGTACCTTTCACGTCGAATCATAATCGAATGAAACGAAAGTGTGGAAACTCTAGTGTTGTGGAAAGTTTTTATTTCTTTTCTCTTCTCTCTGTTTTTGAAAACTTATTTTAAGAAAACAGCCAATCCAGTTAGGTCGGTCCATGATATGGGTCCAATAGTAGTGTAGTTGGATGGAGCTTAACAAGACCTTTCCAACGATATATTATAAGCCCAATTCCGATGAATATTGAGGAAGTTATGGCCACCAAACAGGGCCTGGTTTGAGCTTTATGTACGGCCCAATGATCTAGGGAAGGGCCTAATATGATTTATCATTCCTAATGCAATTAGGAATGGTTTTAGTCTTCTGGATTCTTCTAGAAGGTTCTTTTCATTCCTAATTCAATTAGCATTAATAAATTGACTTTTGTTTACTTTTCAGAGTTTTAATCAAAATCAAATAGCATTTTTGAGGAAATTATATTATTTTATCCTCCAGTACGGTAAACTTATCGGATTTTCGAAAACGCGTTGGAATCAGGCTTGGCGCCTAACCCCAGGCCTTGGCGCCTGAAACCAGGCCTAGCACCTGGCGCTAGTGGTGGTGCCTGGCGCCAGCTAGACAGGGTTGGCGTCAGCCCTGTTTCTGAGCGTCAGACTCTGTTTTGTTAATTTATCTTTTTTTTTTTGCTGATTTTCTCTATAAATATCGTATTAAAAACTCCGTTTTCATTCACCAATTATCATCAACTACGTCCATCATTCATCAACAATCATTAATTCTTTAGCATTCTCTAAATCATTCATCTCTCTTCAACATTCTTTCTTTCTAAACCTTTGCTTTTACATACAAAATTCCGCATTCACAAGACTTATATACGCCTAGCCATATTCGAAGTTGCCTTCGCTCTAGACGTGAAAGGTTTAATTTCTAAGGGTTTGGTCCCAAATCTCTCTTTCAATTATTTAATTTAATTGTTTGATTATTATTTTCCTTGAAGTTACTAACGTGTGTATTTTGTTATTAGAAAGAGGTATGAGGCATCAAAGTAAGTGCTTTAATGGTTTTAATTGATATTATGATGCAGAAATCATGTTTATATTGTTATTATGATATTCCTAGTATCATGTCTAGGGTAATTTTAATATTAAATATGATTGTTGTGATGCTTCCTATGTTCTTCCTAATATTTATGATTGTTAGTATCATGTTAGGGTTAAAGATTTGATCTTTATTGCTTAGTGACATGCTAGGGTTTGTTATTAATTTTGTTAGTATCATGCCTAGGATCTTGCTATTATTATGCATTAATATTAACATGAACAAGATCATGAATATTATTACTATTATTTGATGATTATTTTATTTATGATTATTATTATTATGATTATTATAATTATTATTCATGATATTATTTATTATGTTGCTTTATTATTTATTGTTATTGCTTGATTATAACTTTTATGCATGTTAAAGGGAATCTATACTTGTAATCACGCTAAATAAGATATTTAATAATCTTGTTAGGGTTAATTGTGATTATAATTCAAGTGATCGCCGATAATAGATTTATTTGTGCATTAAATTCAACCAACATAGATAAACAGGTTTAGGGGTAATCCTATTGATTGCATGTTAATTAAAAAGCGCACATGAATACGATCAGAATAAAGTAGAGGCCTATTATTAGGGCAGGTTCAATCTCTTTTAGGTTGGATTTGTACCTTCATCCCCGGACCCTTATTTGGTTCTAGATCTTATGGAAATGACGATATCTTGGATCGTTAAGGGGTGTAACCTTCACCCTGTGAACGGTTTACAAGTTTCTAAAAAACTTGTTGGCGACTCTTTTGCTCTATCTTCTTCCCTTTTGGACGCCACCGTACTTTAGTGTATGATCATAGTGGGGTTCGAGCTAGTGGGATTTTAAAGGCTTGAAATTATTCCCTACAGTTTTTGGCGACTCCACTGGGAAGGATTTCTGTTTTAATTCCTGAATTTGTTTCGGCAATGATTTAGAATGAGTGGGGCCAGGGCTTGGCGCCAGACTTTTAGCCATAGCGCCAGACGCCAGTATTGGCGCCAGGCGCTACAGTTAAAAACTGGCGCCAATTTTCCCCAATACCGAGCCAGAAATATGCGTTCTAATTTCGACCGGTTTTTCGTATTGTTCTGCTATCCTACTTCCTGATTGAATTTTTTCTCACTTTTCTGAAACCCATATGTGTTCTACATATGGACATAACCCTCTGGGAATTCATGCTCCATCTACCTGATTGAACGCTCCGTGCAACAAAGGGTACATCCGAGATATTGAATTCACCAAACCATGGAAGCGAGTTTTTTCTAAAACTCGCGGTGTCCCATCCACTCGCACCAACCCTTCACGGTTAGGCTTCCGCGCAGTGCATTTGGACAATTAA